CAGCTTGGAAAAGGGATCTAGAACATTCTGAAACAATCGACGAGACTCCGCGAGGACAGCCCCTGGAGCGGAGCAGGACGGAAGAGCTGACAGGTCGGGCGAGCTGGACGCTGCCGGCCGGCGTCTCAGGCCGCTTCTCGCGGAAGCTCGGCCAGTTCCGACAGGATCCATTCCTCCTCGGATCCGAATCCTTCGCGGCGGCCAAGTTCTCGCGGTTCCCAGAATCCTCTGAGGACATCTGGTCTCGTCAGAACATCAAATGATGCTGCTGGTTCATTAGTCGTCAAGAGCGTGTTTGTGGGGGATGCGGGCCAGACGGTGAAAAATCACGGGGTGGGGAGGGGGCACCAGCTTCTTGACTCGGACAGACAGCTTTGAGCAGTGGGCGGAGGTCTCCCATTTGCTCTCCATTTCCAAAAAAAACAAAACAAAAAAAAACCAAGGAAGAAGGCAAGAGTGTAAGCAGTTGTCAGACAGATTCAGGTTTAAGGTCAGGAGGCGCTAGGAAGGCATCGCATTCAACGACTATTGAAGCTTCCCTGACCTTTTATAACTCGCTGCTCGTCCATCACCAGGTGGCCCTCGGTGTTCTCTTTCTGCCTATTTCCACCCACGTGTATAACCCGGCCCACAGGGTGCTGAACCCGAACCTTCCAGGCAGCAAGCTGTGGGCAGAGGGTGAGGCGCGGAGACCCCTGGAGGTCAGGACTCGGGGGCTGGCGGGGAGACCCAGTCTCTGAACGATCCCCCGGCGGCCGGAAAGAATTATTGCAGCTTCTAAAGTGACCCCTGTGCTCCCCGGGGGTCGTCTGGGCTCAGAGAAAACCTGTCTCGCTGACGACTAGTGACTTGGCGATGGATGTGGGGATGGACTTCTGAAGCCAGACACCTGCTTCTGCATCCCTGCCGAGGCTGCATTTCTGGGTCAAAGGTTACACTGTGTGTGTGTGTGTGTGTGTGTGTGTGCGTGTGTGCGCGCTAGGGGTGGGGTGAGGATGGGGGGGCCTCACAAAAGTGCTGCCCTTTGGACCTCAGTCTACCAGTCCCCACGCAGTCCCTCAGCAGCTGTAAATACTGAGCAAGTCACACCCCTCTTTGCCTCAGTTCTTCAAACGAGAAGGGGGAGGGAGAGTCCAGGGGCCTCCCCATCGCTCCCAGCTCCGAGAACCCCTGCCTCCGGGGCCGGGGGGTCTGGCGCCCCGGGTGGGGTTGAGAAGGCTGCTAGGTGCAGAGTGTCTGTCTGTCCTGTCTTCCTGCTGCCATCAGGGCTGCAGATCCGAATCAGCCTCCCAGGTGGGGGGAAGCGGGGCAGCTCCCGGGGCCTGTCTCCTTCCCCCCACTTCCCCCCACTTCCCACTCTGAACCTGCGCTTGGTCCCTGAGCACCTGCTCTTTTCTTTCTTTGTGCTATTTCACGAGCTGCGTCTGGGAGCGATGGATTCTTTCTCATTCCAATGTTTTGAACAGGAACTAGAATATCTCTTTTGCACCCTGTAAACACGTAGAAACACAAACCAACCCCCAAGTTTCCCCGGGCCAGAGTGAAATGGACAGTGTCCCGCGTACGCAGCAGAGAAAGCCGCGTGTCTAGCCAGAGGAGCGAGGGGTCACTTGCAAACTTGCCTCATTAACCCATCCCTCTCCAGGAGCAAATGGGGGGCTTTTCATCTCAGGGTGCACAGTCCTAAGCGATCACCCCTGTAAGTGTATTTCTTGGGGGCTAATTTGCTGTGAAGTCAGAAGAAAAAGACAACTGTTGACAGGGAAGTGTTCATCTCCCTTTACGATATTTAAAAATCACACCTTTTGTGGCCATGCAGGGTAAGGACGGGGTTGCAGGGTCTCTGAGGCCAGCCAGGAGGAGGTGGCCTTTTCCAGCTGTGCCCATGGGTAGGCCACGCCCAGGGGATGGCCGTCCACCGCCAGGGGCGGAGCTTTGGGGGCTGCAGGTCCTGCCCCATCAGTGAGTGGCCAAATCAATTTAGACCAGAAATTTTTTAAAGACATGAAACAGCCCTGGCCGGTTTGGCTCAGCAGTCAGAGCATCGGCCCATGGACCAGAGAGACCCGGGTTCAGTTCCCGCGGAGGGCGTGTACCTCGGTTGCAGTTTGTCCCCGGCCCTGGTAGGGTCATGCGGGTGGCAGCCAGTTGATGTGTCTCCCATCGATATTTCTCTCTCTCTCCCTCCCACTCTATCTGAAGATAAATGCAAAAAAAAAAGTCCTCGGGTGAGGATAAAGCACAAAGACATGAAATAAATTAGATGGAAGCGGGACAGACTAGAAAGCATCCCCGCGCCCGGCACAGAGAAGGCCGTGTACTGTGCCGTGAAGCCGGTTCAGCGTGTGCGTGTGCTGACGTGCTAGGCTCGCCAGGTTTCACGGACACACGCACTCCCACGGCAGGTGGTGGTTAACGCGATCTGAAAGGCACGGCCTCGGAGGAGCCCGCCGGCATGCCCACGCGGGTGCCAGCTGCGGACGCCGGGCTCCGCTGGCCGACAGAGTAACCACAGCCGGGGACGGCATTCCTCCAGGGAGCGTCGCCTGCGGCTCTATTGAAACCGTCCCTAAGTCATTCTGAATTCCGCGTCTCCGCCTCTGAAAACTCCCTCAGTTGAATCACTTCTTTCAAGGGGAGCCCAAGGCACAGGAGGTCAACTCTGTCTCTCTTTCCGGGGGCACCGCCGCCCAGCCCCAGTGGTCTGGAGCTCCCTTTGCCTTTTCCCATCTCAGGGGAGCCTGATACATGTGCTACTCGGTGTACACGATAAACGAGGCTTGACTATGCCCCTTCCTGAAGGGACTTATATGTTGGCCAAATACCCCCATGCTTGGTAGAAGAATCTCACCAGCTGTAGCCGCGGGGAAGGAGAGCGATCCGGGGAGAACGAGTGTGTCCCCTGCATCCTGCCGTCCCCCCTGTGGCCCCGGTATATTCCCTTTACGACCGTCCCCTTTGTACATAAAAACAAGATGCGTGGCTTCTTTCCCCGTAGATTTGTGCGCTACAACTTCGGTGTCTTTATTTTTTTAAAGGGTATTTACAAAACTGTCTCCTCCTAAAATCCTTGAGAGGAAACAGTTTGTCTTCCTCAGCTCTGCATTGATCGAATGCCCAGCTTCCTGCCTGGTGGCCTGGGGGTGCTCTGGGGTCCTGGCTGTTTGTTACACAGTGATACTCCTCCGCACACGTGGCAACATTGTTTCTCCACCCGGCTCTCCTGAGTATAAGAGTATTTTTGTAAAGCCTCCACACACCAGTGACAGAACAGCAACAGTTTCGTGAGCGCACCCCTTTGTTAAGTCTATACTACATGCCAGGCTGCCCGTACCCGGCGCTCGGCCCGCCGGTCTGTCTATTCCTTGCAAAGCCTCCTCAGTAGAAGTATCGCTGCTCCCTCCATACGCCAGCCCTAAACACCACACACACAATCTCCCAGATTAATCTCCCAGGGAGACCCACAACCTGCCCAGGCACACAGCTGCTCATGGCCAGGGTGTCATCCAAATCCAGCCCAGGTGGCTGCAAAGCTGAGGCTCCCCGGCGCCCCATTTCCTAGCCCTCCAGTGGTATCTAAAGTGGTCATTTTCATTTTCATTTTCAAAGGCGTCACCTGTCTGTCCTGGTAACGACAGAGTTGTAAACGTGAGAACCCCAGACAAGTTTCCTTTGCGATGAGCACGCCCTGACTCGCATGGATGCTCACACGCTCAGACCACCTCTGGCCTGAGGGTGCCAACTGGTGCCCTCTGCTTGCCCTGCGCTGCCCAATGTCCCACCTCCGGTCCCCTTCAAACTAGCACAAGAGGCCTGGAGAGTGGAGGGCCGGGTGCACCACCGTCCCTGCTGGGGGCTGCTGGGGCGCCGCCAACCTCTCGGGTGGGTTCAGACGACTCCTCCCACGTGGGGACCTTGGAGCTGAATGAGGACTATTCCCACTTCCACGAGGCGGAGTCCCTAGTCCTTCTACACAGACCGTGTTGAACAGAAACCCTCAAACCAAGAAGCCTCCCCAGCTGTGTCCAAGGTGATTCGAGACCACGGGTATTAGGCAGGCGCCCCCGCCCCGCTCCCGCCCCCGCCGCCCCATGCCGGGAAAGCGAAGACATTGGTTTTGTAGCAGATATTTAGAAATCAAAGCCAGAATCACTTTTGCTTTTAAAATGGAGAATGAAAAACCACAGGCTGCCCAGTGGGTGCAGTCACCACCGTGCGAGTCCCAGCGTCTAGAGAACTTTCCCATATTAATTCAGTCTTCAGTTTCAGGAAATAAAATAATTATGTAGTTAAACAGAGATCCTTATGCAAACAAGCACTGTGTTTACAATGTACCAATCCATTAACATCAATGACAGACGCAGGTTATGAGACGGAAAAACGCTAGCTGGGCGCACCGGCCGGCCGCCCCTCGAGGACAGCAGGCCACTCAGCAGGGTCTGCCCCCGGGCAAAGCCCTGCCAACCTCCAGTCAAGGTAAACAGGCGGTAAGTACCCACCGGACACCACTCACCAGTGGTGGTACCTGCATTCTTTAGGGTCTACACGACTGGAGGTTGGCATTTTTTCCTTTTCAAATGGCTCCATTATAAGACAGCTCTCGACGGGGCAATTTTTAAACAAGTTTTCTAGGCGCGGTTTGACATTGCCTTACGTTGTCTAGCCACAAACCATCTGAGTGAAAGGGAATCAAAAAGACGTTCTACGTTTCAGGAGAAAATAACCCCACCTGTCTCCTATCTTGTACGCTGAATGCCATCCCCACAAATGAAGAGCGACAGGGAACGAAGCCCCGTAATGTTAAGCTGCACTGGCCCCGAGCCAAGGCCATTGAGTCTTCCCCTCTGTCAATCCTACCAAGAAGGCCGGCAATGCAACGCAACGCAACGCAACGCAACGTAACGCAACACACTGTGTGTTCCCCCAGGGACGCGTCAATCAGGAAGAGTTCGGTCTCTCTAGAGATGCAAAGGCTTTGTAAGTGGTAAGAGCTGACGTACCTTCAGTTCCCGGAAGAAGATGCTACTCCTGGCCCACTCGACGATGGAGAAGAGGGTCTGGTCTGCCATTTTGCACATCAGCCCAAAGGTGCTCAGCTTCTCGTGTTTGCTCCGGTTGGCTTGTTCTTGTTGCAAATAGGCCATGATTTTGGCTTGGACTTGAGGCTCGTCTGGCTCACACTTCAAAAGTTCCAGGATCAGATGCGGGATGCTTGCTGGGGAGCTCGTCTGGTAGCTGTCCATGTAGGAATAGCCCATGATGGACTCGGGCGAGCTGGTGTAGGGGTCCGGGTACTCGGACTTGATGGCCCGGCTCGGAAAGTGGCTGTAGGCTTGGTAACCTTGCAGACTGCCGTGGGGGGGCATTGTCATGCTGATGGGGGATGTTACAAAGGGACTTCGGTCATAGTCTGTGGGAGGCAAGGCAGCATGGTTCAGAGGTAGGCCTTTGGAGGCAGAATGGATGTTCTGAATCGCGGAGGAGATGCTCAGCTCGGACGGCATCGCTTGGATCACCTGAGACATGGCTTCTAGCTTCAGTCCGTTCGCTCGAATGAGGGCTTTTTTCTGCTGTTTCAGGGCCCGGTCTCTCTTGTACATTGGCCCAAATTTATTCCTTCCTCCACGCATTCGGTCAGCCCTTACCGCTGTCGCGGGGGAGGAAAGGAAAGTCAGGGTATAAATAAGATGTAAGTTATTAGCATTCCCCAGATCGCCAGCGATTTATTAATGCTGCAAACTGACCAGAAGTGGTGTGTGGGGTTGTTTTCTCTGCCACTGTCCTCAAAAACTCCCCCCAAAAGCCCTGTCCTCATTATTCATAAATTGTTTCCTCCGAATGTGTTTATCATCAAAAAAGTATTTTGGAAGGACCGATTAGCTCTTCTGTGGACCCTAGAGACTTCCTCATTGTTGCCACACAGAGGATACTTTGTATCGCTCGAAAGAGTGTCAGTTTTTCTACCGAGTACTGGTTTCTATTTTGCCAGTTACATTGTTGCTCTCTGTATGGAAACCCGCCCTGTTGAGAGGAACAAAAATTCCAAATAACCCATTTCTAGATTAAATTGTGACTACTTTCTCTTAGAACATCTTCTTCCTTCAAAGCCATGCTGGCTAACTTGGAGCAAAAGGGCAGAAAGGTACTTTCCTTAGAAAATACATTTCACCTGGACTTGATAAAAGTATAGCAGCTCACCACCGGTCATTGTTTTTAATTTTAGCAAAATTGGACAGAATTAAAGCAAATTCATTTCAGATGCCGTTAAGACAATCCCCTGCCCCAGGGCTGGGTGGAGTCTGGGGCCCGGTCTAATAAGTTAGCTGTTCTCTCCAAGCCCGTAGTGGCCAATGGCAATTGGGTAGAAGCCAAGAGCTTCTGACAGCTCGGGCCATGTGGCCATGGCTGGAGGTTGGATTTTTTTGAGCTTTTTATCATAGGATTAGTACAGCATTAAAAATGTATGGTGAATACTAGGTATACAAGACAATAGAGTTTTTCATGTGGATGAAAATTTACTGAATATTTAATTGTTTTACCCCATTGGCAAGGAAGTATGAGTAGGCACCGAAGTGACTTACAGTTATGAAAGCATACTCTTCCAGGCAAAGAAATGCAACTTTTTTCTTTTATTAAGAAAAAACAAAAAATAAAATCAAATGACATCCTAGGAAATCACACATTTTTACCATTTTATTTTCTGGTTTTCTTACTGTAATAAGACTCGATCATCATATTTGGCTTTTGAAACATTAAGTGATTACTGATAAAGAAATTAATAAACATCAGTAACTTCCTTTCAAGGATCTTTTCTTAAAAGTAATATGGACGTAACCATCCTAAGGTAACCAAAGTGGCTGCTTCTATCAGGAAGGAATCTATTAGCAATTCAGCAGATTTATTAGGAATTTGGGGTATTCCTATCAAGTCTGGTTTCCACATAACAGAAAAACTCCAAAGACAACTAGCCTGTGCGGCTCAGTTGGCTGGGCGTTGTCCTGTGCACCAGGAGGGCGCCTGTTCAATTCCTGGTCAGGGCACCTACTGGGGTTGTGAGCTTGATCCCCAGTAGGGGGCGTGCAGGAGGCAGCCCCTCGATGTATCACTCTCACATAGATATTTCTCTCTCTCTCCCTCTCCCTTCCTCTCTCTAAAAATCAATGAAATATCTTAATAAAATAAAATGCGCTCCCATTCCTGGCACGTCCATGACACATACTGCTCATTATTACTCTATGTGCAGTAGATTTCATCAGCGGGAAGTCCGTGGGTGAGAGTCTGAAGAAGAGGGGTGCACCACAGCCGTCCATGAACTAGCAGTTAGTGCAGTGGTCACACCTGCCCGTCTGCACACTGGAAACCCTGCTCTGCCCTGCCAGCGTCACGTTTCATGTGGCTTTAGAGGATGCACACGGCGTTCCTGAGAGTTCATTATTTTTCATGTTTCCCTCTCCTCCACTTTTATTTATTTTATTTTATTTTATTTTTCAGGCTCAGTTATTATCTTAATTTTGAAAAGCTCTTTCCCACACTATGCAAAATGACACTCACCATGAGAACCCCTGTTGACAATGAAAGGTGTTGATCCTGTCCTGGCCGGTTTGGCTCAGTGGTTAGAGCGCTGGCCTGCGGACCAGAGAGACCCGGGTTCGGTTCCCCCTGAGGGCATGTACCTCGGCTGCAGTTTGTCCCCAGCCCTGGTTGGGGTCATGTGGGTGGCAACTAGTCGATGTTTCTCTCTCTCGCTTTGTCCATCTCTCCCTCCCGCTCTATCTGAAGATAAATGCAAAATGTGTCCTCGGGTGAGGATAAAAAAAAATGAAGGGCGTTGATCCTGGCTGAGGAATCATGCAATTGATGATTATACTTATGATAAGCACACCTACAGCTTTAAAAACAAGATTCCAACCAAACTTCCACTAGGGCATTCTGATTCAAAAACTCCGATTAAGGATTATTTTTTTTGCAAATTATTTTTATTTGTTCTCAGTCGAATCGCCTGAGTCTTGTTTTTGTCTAACCTGCTTTTATTTTTAAAGTCAGGCGCAGCTATTCCACAAACAAAACAGAGGTTGGGGTGGTGGTGGAGAGGAGACACAGCTCTGATATTAACATATTTTCTCCTGGTTGATTTCACAAGGGTTAAAATGAAACTCAGGCCTATTGTTACATCATTGTCAACAGCAGTTAAAAGACTAGGAAAACAATGTTACTGTGTTATAAGTACAACCTTGTTTTAAATTCTATGTCCTTGGAGGTGAACAGGCGGTAAGGGGTGTTTAGAAGAATCTTACCTTCTAGCTTCATTCCCACACTCAGACACTTTTGAAATCGACAGTAAGGACAACGCTTCCTCTGTGTTTTGTCGATCTGACAGTTCTGGTTCTCTATACATGTGTACCTTTTATTGTTTTGGACTGTTCGCTTAAAAAATCCCTGCAAGACAGAGAAAACAGTGAGACGTACTGTAAATCTAACACCCTTCTCTCCCATGGTTTGATTTTAAGGAAATCGATAGTAAATCTTCTCATCACACCCTTTGGGCCCTTCTGTAGGTCTGTGGGTTGTTTTCCATTTTAACAAGATCAACCCTCCCCAGCAGGGCCAGGTCCTGGTGGGGCTGTCTCCGGCCTCAGAACTCTATTCCTGAAGAATGATATCCAATCCTGGGAAGGTCTGGCTACACACCATTTCATCTCAACAGTCAGAGAGAAAAATACCTTCTATATTGACCAGTGCCCCCCACCCCATGTCCACATAGAGGTCGCGCTGGGGACCTGTTCTTACGGAGTCGGACACAATTTCAGTGACAAACTGCTGAAAAGGACCAGTGGAAAAACTGACTAGCAGAACATCTCAGATCTTTCACAAATGTCAACATTAGGTAGTTAAAAGCAAAAGGATTTAAAGAGTAAAAATGGGAAAATGTTCATAATTCCCCTGGAATGCGTTCCAGTATGAGAACTCGGTAAAAAAAGAGGAAGAAAAAACAGTGGAACAAATGCGAGAACTGACGTTTAACACCCAGGGTATGTTCTGACGTCTCAGGGAAAAAATGCATCAAAAATAAAACTGCTGTCTTTATCCTACAGTACCAGTGTGGCCAGGATGCTATAGTCTTTCTGTTTACCCTCCCAGCCACAGAGTGAAAAATCTTACGTCGTTATGGAGAATGAAGGGATTTTCCCGGCAGTGGTTTAAGTAATTGCACTGAGCCTTCTACTTAAAAAAAAAAAAAAAAAAGTTGAAAAACAGGGAGTATCAAATTTACTGGGAATATATAAAAAGAGACCCTTGATGTCGAGTTGATATTAGTCACAATATCATATGTTTCAGCTATTGATTCCGTCCATTGAAATCGATCGTATATTTATGGAAACCACTCTATTGTAAACTAAGACCTGGCTTCTTGTTCTTCACGATATAAATTTCCAAGAATCTTCACAATTATTTTTGGAGTAAATCAGGGTGAACTCGTGCAGTTGGGAATTTAGACTTTTATGTCAGAGGATAACAAACGTCTGGAAGCGTAGCACAGGGCGCTCTGGCGGGAAAAGGTATTTGGGAAATACTTTGTCATGGCTCCTCCAGAGAACAGCCTTAAATATATATAAGTCAAGCAAAATCAATATTTAGGACTGTTAGTAATAGAAGCCTTTCTACAGCTACATCACTCCACCACAATAAAATATTTTAAGGCCACGGCAAAGTTTTCTAAACAGCATAAATTTCTTTGCCTTTTGAATTAAACCAGACCCATATTTCTAAAAATCGTCTCTGTAGGTCCAACTCTTTCTCTCTCCCATTTTTAAATTGAGTCTTAAAAAGACAGCCTCCATTCGGCCGGCTTTCACCGGCCACCCAGTGGTTTATGGGGGGTTCTGACGCCCTGGTTCTCGGGAGCCACGTGCAAACACACCTTGCAGCTCTCACAGGTGAGGAGCCCATAGTGGTAGCCGGACACTTTATCTCCGCACACCGGACACAGCTCCTCCAGGTCTTCATCGTAGGAGTAATTCACCATTTTAAACTGAGACACTGGAAGAGAAGAGAGTGGACACAGGGGGCCAGTTAATTCGCCAGGTAGGCTTCCATCCTGCAATGAGAATCAGGGTGGTGACTGTGGGCCAGCACCATCCAGGGAAAACACGAAATAAAATACAAATAATGTGTGCCCAGGCGCTCTTTAGAGAACCTCTCCAGAGAAAGGAAAACGTCGCTCGGCATCAAGAGGCATGCAGCTCACGTAAACATGTTTTAAATTTAAAAACAATTCCAACGTCTTCTGTTAGACGTGTGTACACGGACCGAGGCTGAACACAGTCTGCAAAGCAGCCAATCAGACTAGAAGCAGAAACGGCCTGAAATGAACAATTTCGAGTTTCTTTGAAACTCCCTTAAAAGTTTCAAAAATGTCACCTTTGCCCGAGGGACAGAAACAAGCACACCCCAAATCCCCGACTCCTGCCGGGACACGGGCAGCGAGCACCTCAGCCCTAGGAGGAGCCAGTGGGGACTGGCCAGCCCCTGGCTGAGAAACCCCAGCCCCAGAAACCCGGTTCCCAGCATCCCCTCTCCCGACAGCCAGCGGGAGCTCTTGATTGGGGTCCTTCCATCTCCGCACCTTTGAAAACCTCCTGTAAAAATGAAAAGAAAAAAAAGGAAAACCGCCCAAACGAAAAACAAAAAGAAAAACAAACAAACAAACAAACAAAAAAACAGAGGAAAAGAGACCAGGAGAGTTTGGTTTCGAAGCCAAGCACTGAAGTCCCGTAATGAACTTCACATGTTCTCGGTCGTCAGGGCAAAATATAAACACCCCGAGATCGCCCTGTTCAAGTTAAGCCGAAATCGGGCCGCGGACCTCCCCGCGGGGATCCGGTGACCGCCTTCCTGGGATGGAGCCCCGCCGAGCGTCTCCGGTCAGCGACCGTGGATAATCCGTGCACAGAAGGGCAGTGGCCGGAGGGGCCCCGGATAGTACCTGGTCGGGTCCCTTGCTGAGACTCCGCGTCCACGCGGCGGGAACGGGTCGCGCAGCCCAGCCACCGCGCGCCCTCGGGCACCGTCCTGTGAACCCCCGGGGCGCACTCGCCTCTCGCCGGTTGCTCAACCTCCGCTAACACAGGCGCGCAAACACCGACTCCGTTTGTTTTAAGTTAATCAGTGGCATTTGCTGGGGGCGGGATGGGGTGGGGGGAGGGGAACAGATGACCGGGCAAAAGTTTCCTGATTTGTTTACCAAAAAGGAAAGAGAGAAGTAGCCGCCCCCCAGCTCCAAAGTACCGGGCCACTCTATCTCCAGGGTAGCTTCCCTGCCCGTGACTTGTTCCCCCCGCCCCCCACCTTTACTTAAAAGTTCTTTCTTTTTTTTTCCTGTAAGGCTTCTGCGGGCTCCAGAAAGGGCCGTGCGGTGGGGGTGTCACTGCGATTCTTGGTGGCCGGGCCGAGCGCCGCGCACTGGGGCTGAGTCTGGGGACTGGGAGAAAAGGGTCCCGCAGAGCCAGACGCTGGCTCCCAGCGGTCCTCCAGCGGCGCCAGCCTGGGTCCCAGCCTCAGGGGCCGCGCTCCGGTTTTGAGAACCAGGGGCTTTGGGAAGGTGGAAGGTTGGAGACATTCGAATGTAGTCCCGTCTCTCCTGAAACTCGTGACTATTATGTGAGGCATGTTTTAGGGACGAAAGAAGAGTGGACTGTACTAAGTCTGTTCTTTTCCACTCTGCCCTCCAACAAAGTCAACTGTAACTTCACACCCAGGGCACCACAGGCCCCGGCTTACAGGGGACTCGCGGCTCACTGCGGGGATCCCACTGAAAAGACCAAGGCTGGGGTGGGGACCCTCTTGGAAAATTCGAAGACGGAGGCCAAGCTGGGAGGCAGTGGCGGCTATGCGCGCGACACCGGAGCGTCTTTCAGAGACTCGGGTGCTGTAACCCAGGTAAGCCTTTGGAGAGCGGGGTCCGTCAGGGCAAAGCCGTCCCCATCTTGAAAAAGTAGAGGGGACGGTAGGGCCTTGGAAAGCTGGGCCCGCCGAGAAGTTTCCCCTAAGTTGGGCGCGGTGCTGTCTTGGGAAGCAGCAGCCGGTTCTCCCCACGGGTCGGATTGTGGCACATGCCAGGCTGAGACTGGAGTAAACGTGGGAATGGGGTCACCGTCCCCAGGGGCTCCTCTCGGACCCAATGGCGCTTCCCAGCGGCTCTGGAGCCCAAGGCTGAGCGCAGGCCAGCGGCTCCTCTGCAGCCCCGGACACGGGAAGGGAACTCTCTGCGCTGGGGCCCTAGGTCCTGGCAAGAACGCCCCTCTCAAACTTTAGGAAGAAAATGTTACAGTGGAATTTCCCTCCCAACTCCCCCCCAAACCCTTCTTCCTGCCTCCCGGACTTCAGGCTCCGGCGTCTCCGGGGGTCCCTCGGAAACCCACGTGCCAGGACCAGAAGCAGAAACTTCCCTTTTGGACCCAAGAACCGCGCCGCCTCACGGCACCCAAAGGGTCCTCTCTCGCGACTGCTGGTAGCTGAGGGTCCCCAGATCGGCTTCCCCGCCCTGCGTCCCCATGTCCCCACTGCGCGGGGGACCCCGGCGACCTGCAGGAAAGGCCTCTTTGGGCCAACCGGGTTCCCTCCGCAGCCAACCCATAAGTTGGTCTCAGGAGCCTCGGCCCAGGGGCCTTCCACAGCCCTTCCTGGAGAGCTGAGGAGACCCCAGAATCTCGGAGGGGTAACCCACCCCCAGGCCTGCCGCACGCCTTTCTGCCACCCAGTTTTCCTAGAGCGGCCTGCGACGCCAGGCCCCGGGCGAGTGCCGTGCGCACCAGCCTTGAACTCTGCTCCCGACACCTCCCGGCCCTTCCAAGTTCGCTCGCGGGGAAGGCAGGAAGGCTCTAAGACCCCAGGCTCGCCTGCGCACACACCCTGCGCGCGGGAAGGGGCGAGGGTGGAAAAGCGCCCGAGGCGCTTCTGAGTTTGTTCCCGCCCCGGCCCGGGGCACGGGGCGAACCGAAGGGCTTCCTACCGCCGGCGCGGAGCGCTGTTTGGGAATGCGGTAAAGGCCCAGCGCCGGTCACTGGCTTTATTTTAAAGCAACCGGGAGCTGGGAGCTGCAGAATGTACACAGGACCCCTGGTGTCCCATTCTCTGGCTGCGACAGGCTCCAAGCGACACCGTCCTCCCCACCCCCATACACCCGCTGGACCCGCGCAGGGCATGGGGTTGGGGCCACGTTTGCTTCTTCAGTTCTGCCCGCTCTTCTGAACTTGCCTGGGTCGGAACCAGTTCCCGGGGTGCGCACTTGGGCTTTGGGGTGCCCACCTGCACTCCAACACCTAAGACAATCCTTGCCCGGGGTCACCGTCCCTTGCTGCAGGTGACTGTCCTGAGCGGAACGTTCTTCCTCCACACTCGCGCACCGGTTCTCTCCACACCGCTTCCGGTGCCCGAGAACCCGCTCGGGTTCCCAGCGAGACACTCCCTCCCGTTCGCAACCGCCTTCAGCCTGAACCCGCCCGCTCGGCGGCCAGCGAGCCGAGCTTCTCTCCTCTTAGTAAGAAGCGGCCCAGGAGGCGTTGCTCGGAAAACGCCCGTCGCGCACTGTCCTAGGGCCACAAACTTTCCCGGCTGGGGAGGCGGCCTGCGCCGCGCGGCCCGGCCCGGCCCGGCCCGGCCCCTCCAGGCGCGCGGAGCCGGCGCGGTGGCCGCGGGAGCCTGAGCGCGGCGCCTGCTTACCTTGCATGTTTTCCGGCATCTGCCCCCGGTCCCCATGCGATCGAGCCAGTCCCGGGGCTTCCGTCTCCACTTTGGGCAGCATGACAAGGCGGCTGCGCGTGCGGACAGGGGCTTGGGGTCCGTCCGGAAGCCCCGCACCTGGACGCCACCGCAGAGATTCACCTCCGGCGGGGAGAAGGAAGGGGCGCCAGGGGGTCCGCTCGCCCGCCTGCTAGCAGGAGCGTGCCTCCGCCTCCTCCGGGGCTGCGAGTCCGGACCCCTGCGCCGCGTCCAGCCCTGCAGCCTCGAGCTGCCCCCGAGCCGCGAGGAGGAGACAGGGCTTGAGACCCGGCGGAGTCGGCGCCCGGGCGCGTGGGCTCGGCTCTGCGAGGGCGGAGGCGGTGGCGGCGAGGGCGCAGCTGCCCGGGGCGCGGATCCGGACGCGCCGGGCTCCGGGCGCAGAGCGCACGCAGGCGGCGGGAGAGAGGTGTCGCGGCTGCGGCGGCGGGGCCGCTGTCGCTGCTGCGGGACGACTCAGCGACTCCCGCCCTCCGCGCGCCGCGGGCTCAGGATCCGCAGGGGTCTCTGGCGCTCGCTGCACTTCGCTCCGCTCCGCACCTTCCCCGTCCCTGCCCCCTGGCGCGAGCAGACACAAGTGAGGAGTGTGAGGTCCCACCTCGCTCTCCCGCCTCCTTCACGCCTCCCGCGGGCCCCGGAGCTGCCCGTGCAGCCCGAGGGTGCCGGTGCTGCCAGGGAAGAGGGACCAGGGCGAGAAGGGAGGTGAGTGGGGCGGGGGAAGGGAAGCGGGGATTAGGGCTGATGACAGTGACTGGGAACGCGGGTTCCGGACTCGGGTCGGACCCCAGCTGCCAGCCAATGAGGAGTCGGCGCACGCCCGTCCCCGCGCCTGCCCCAACCTCTTCACCCCGCCTCGCCCCCTCCCACCGCACCCTGGCCCTGGGCGGGGGACGTGGATGCTTCCGGGTCTTACAGCGGGCGAGAGGCGACCTCTGTCTGAGCGCGGCGGCGCGGCTGGGAGGCTGGGGCGGCGATTCTGAGAGCTGAGGGGCGGCCGAGGGGGAGCCGAGAGGAGGGATGGGGTGTGGGGGTGCGCCCTGGCCTGTACGTCGGGTGAGGGGCTGAGGGGGGAGGGGCTTGAGCACCCATTTCAACAACCTGAGCGGGAAAGATGTAGAATTGCGTTGGCTGCTCTTTCCAGAAGCCGAGCTGGCCACCTCGCCAGGGTCTCGCGGCTCCATTCCGAGACACCCAGCCCGCGTGGGTCCGGGCACCACGGCGTGGCCGGGGCGGGACAAGGATGTCTCTGAGTGTTCACTCAC